GTTGGTGGCATCTGCGCCTTGCGGGGGCTGGGGGGGGGGGGGATGCTACGCCATTACTTATAACTATATATTAATTATGACTATACTGAACAAAAATATAAATGCAACATGTAAAGTGTTGGTCCCATGTTTCATGAGCTGAAATAAAATATCCCAGAAATTTTCCATACACACAAAAAGCTTATTTCGCAAAATGTTTTTGCACAAATTTGTTTACATCCCTGTTAGTTAGCATTTCTACTTGGACAAGATAATCCATCCATCTGACAGGTGTGGCATATCAAGAAGCTGATTAAACAGCATCATTACACAGGTGCACCTTGTGTTGGGGACAATAAAAGGCCACTCTAAAATGTGTCACACAAATTTTGTCACACAACACAATGCCACAGATGTCTCAAGTTTCGAGGGAGCGTGCAATTGGCATGCTGACTGCAGGAATGTCCACCAGAGATGTTGCCAGAGAATTTGGCACTACATCCAACCGGCCTTAAAACCACAGGCCATGTGTAACCACGCCAGCCAGGACCTCCGCATCAGGCTTCTTCACCTGCGGGATCGTCTGACACCAACCACACGGACAGCTGATGAAACTGTGGGTTTGCACAACTGAAGAATTTCTACACTAACTGTCAGAAACAGTCTCAGAGAAGCTCATCAGGGGCGGCAGGTAGCTTAGTGGCTAAGAGCGTTGTGCCAGTAATCGAAAGGTCGCTGGTTCTAATCCCCGAGCCGACTAGGTGAAAAATCTGCCGATGTGCCCTTGAGCAAGGCACTTAACCCTAATTGCTCATGTAAGTCGCTCTGGATAAGAGCGTCTGCTAAATGACGTAAATGTAAAATGTAAATGTCATCAGCGTGCTCGTCGTCCTCACTAGGGTCTTGACCTGACTGCAGTTTGGCGTCGTAACCGACTTCAGTGGGAAAATGCTTACCTTCGATGGCCACTTGCATGCTGGAGAACTGTGCTCTCACAGATGAATCCCGGTTTAAATTGTATCGGGCAGATGGCAGACCACGTGTATGGCGTTGTGTGGGCGAGCGGTTTGCTGATGTCAACGTTGTGAACAGAGTGCCCCATGGTAGTGGTGGGGTTATGGTATGGGCAGGCATAAGCTACAGACAACGAACACAATTGCATTTTATAGATGGCAATTTGAATGCACAGAGATACCGTGACGAGATCCTGAGGCCCATTGTCGTGCCATTCATCCATCTCCATCACCTCATGTTTCAGCATGATAATGCACGGCCCCATGTCACAAGGATCTGTACACAATTCCTGGAAGCTGAAAATGTCCCAGTTCTTCCATGGCCTGCATACTCACCAGACATGTCACCCATTGAGAATGTTTGGGATGCTCTGGATCAACCTGTACGACAGCGTGTTCCTGTTCCTGCCAATATCCAACAACTTCACACAGCCATTGAAGAGGAGTGGGACTACATTCCACAGGCCACAATCAACAGCCTGATCAACTCTATGCGAAGGACAGGTGTTGCACTGCATGAGGCAAATGGTGGTCACACCAGATACTGACTGGTTTTCTGATCCACGACCCTACTTTTTTTTTTTTTAAAGGTATCTGTGACCAACAGATGCATATCTGTATTCCCAGTCATGTGAAATCCATAGATTAGGGCCTAATGAATTTATTTAAATTGACTGATTTCCTTATTCCTGTAACTCAGTTAAATCGTTGAAATTGTTGCATGTTGCGTTTATATTTTTGTTCAGTGTATAATAATACATCTAAGATAAAATGTATATAAAATGTATATCCAGCTTAGGACTCCAGCTATGCATTTGGTAAATAACTTCCTCCATTAGCTGCTCCTCTCCTCTCTGTCTGCCACTCGCTCCCTGCACACAGCTCACTCTGCATGCGCTCTGCTCATGGTGGTTTTGAGTCTGTTAGTATCCATAGCAACGGCTCCGCTTGGGCTGCTCTGCTCAATGAAGAGACGTGAGAGCAGTTAGCTGTTAGCTACTTTTCGTCACTCTAAAGTCCAACAAAACTCAAGGAACATTATTATTTTCTGTGAAAAAATCTCTCCTGACTATTTGACGAGGTTGAAGCGCTTCTGACACCTTGTTATGATCTTAGTCAGATATGACTGTACTGCGCAGCAGAGCACGAGTAAATGGCTCAGCTTCAAAATGTTAATGATCAATTTAGCGATACCTGAGCTCTGCCCGTACCCTAGTTTTTGATTTTTAAAAACAGGACCTACCCAGCCCTAACCCTGCTACGGGAGCGTCTGGCTCGGGTCGGGTAGCAGAGCTATACCCTGTTGCCTAAATAGTTTTGTGCTTAGAAATAATCCACTTCCGGTAATACAGTATACCCCGGTATGGTACAGAAACTGTATTTTTATTTTATTTAACTAGGCAAGTCAGTTAAGAACAAATTCTTATTTACAATGGTGGCCTACACTGGCCAAACCCGGACGACGCTGGGCCAATTGTGCGCCGCCCTATGGGACTCCCAATCACGGCCGGTTGTGATACAGCCTGGAATCGAACCAGGGGGTCTGTAGTGACGCCTCAAGCACTGAGATGCAGTGCCTTAGACCGCTGCGCCACTCGGGAGCCCATGATGGTATGAGAATCTGGATACCGCCCAACCCTAGTAACTACCTTTGATGGTGTAACCACTCTCCTTCATACGTGTCTTGGTTGGGGTATGTGTAGAGGCCATGGCCCTGGCGCTGGTCATCAACCCAGCTTCCTGAGAGAGAGAGAGAGAGAAGGGGTGTACGCTACCAGTCAAAAGTTTTAGAACACCTACTCATTCAAGGGTTTTTCTTTATTTTTAAAATGTTTACATTGTAGAATAATAGTGAAGACATCAAAACTATGAAATAACACATATGGAATCATGTAGTAACCAAAAAAGTGTTAAACAAATCCAAATATATTTTATATTTGAGATTCTTCAAATAGCCACCCTTTGCCTTGATGACAGCTTTGCACACTCTTGGCTTCATGAGGTAGTCACCTGTAATGCATTTCAATTAACAGGTGTGCCTTGTTAAAAGTTAATTTGTGGATTTTCTTTCCTTCTTAATGCGTTGAGCCAATCAGTTGTGTTGTGAACAGCCCTATTTGGTGAAAGACCAAGTCCATATTATGGCAAGAACAGCTCAAATAAGCAAAGAGAAACGACAGTCCATTATTACTTTAAGACATGAAGGTCAGTCAATCCGGAAAATTTCAAGAACTTTTAAAGTTGCTTCAAGTGCAGTCGCAAAAACCATCAAGCGCTATGATGAAACTGGCTCTCATGAGGATCGCCACAGGAATGTAAAACCCAGAGTTACCTCTGCTGCAGAGAATAAGTTAATTAGAGTTACCAGCCTCAGAAATTGCAGCCCAAATAAATGCTTCACAGAGTTCAAGTAACAGACACATCTTAACATCAACTGTTCAGAGGAGACTGTGTGAATCAGGCCTTCATGGTCGAATTGCTGCAAAGAAACCACTACTAAAAGGACACCAATAAGACGAAGAGACTTGCTTGGGCCAAGAAACACGAGCAATGAACATTAGACCGGTGGAAATGTGTCCTTTGGTCTGGAGTTTTGGTTCCAACCGCTGTGTCTTTGTGAGACGCGGTGTGGGTGAACGGATTATCTCTGCATGTGTAGTTCCCACAGTAAAGCATGGAGGAGGAGGTGTTATGGTGTGGAGGTGCTTTGCTGATGACACTGTCTGTGATTTATTTAGAATTCAAGGCACACTTAACCAGCATGGCTACCACAGCATTCTGCAGCGACACGCCATCCCATCTGGTTTGGGTTTAGTGGGACTATCATTTGTTTTTCAACAGGACAATGACCCAACACCCTCCAGGCTGTGTAAGGGCTATTTTACCAAGAAGGAGAGAGATGGAGTGCTGCATCAGATGACCTGGCCTCCACAATCCCCCGACCTCAACCAAATGGAGATGGTTTGGGATGAGTCGGACCGCAGAGTGAAGGAAAAGCAGCCAACAAGTGCTCAGCATATGTGGGAACTCCTTCAAGACTGTTGGAAAAGCATTCCAGGTGAAGCTGGTTGAGAGAATGCCAAGAGTGTGCAAAGCTGTCATCAAGGCAAAGGGTGGCTATTTGAAGAATCTAAAATATAACATATATTTTGATTTGTTTAACCCTTTTTTGGTTACTATATGATTCCATATGTGTTATTTCATAGTTTTGATATCTTCACTATTATTCTACAATGTAGAAAATAGTAAAAATAAAGAAAAACCCTTGAATGAGTAGGTGTTCTAAAATGTTTGACCGGTAGTGTATATGACAGACAAACAGAGACTGACTGACAGACAGACAGACAGACACACACACCTTCATATTTGGATCCATCTGGGTAGTAGAAGATACCCTGTCCGTGCTTCAGGTTCTGGTAATATTCTCCAATGTACCTGGCCCCATTCTTAAATCGGTATGTCCCCTGGCACACACAGAAATAGTCAAGGAAATGGTCAAAGGAAACAACAAATAGTAAGCATTATGCCATGAAGGTATTCAACTAGTTAGCTAGCTAGCTAGCTACCACACTAAGATCAAATGTGCTTTATTTATGGTGACAGTTACCTGGCCAGACCTTTTCCCGTTTTCATACATTCCTTGGTAAGTGTCTCCATTGGGCAGGACAGCTCTCCCGAACCCATGTCGCTCTCCAGCTTCATTTCGGTCCCCTTCATATTCCTGTGTCAGTCAATGACATCATTCTGTCATTTTTGCTGCGTTGCGTAGGTGCAAGTAGTTGTTAAAATTAACTAACGTTAGCTAGCTAACGATAAGTTGGCACTGCTAGCTCAAAATCGGCTTATGAGTTCTCTACCAAGTTACAGCACACATTTACTCACCCCAAGGTAACCCTGATCATCATCAAAATCCTCTGATCCAACATCCGACATTTTTAACTACTCGTTTCTCTTTGCTCCTGTAAACTAAAAAGTGAACCAACGGACTGCTCCTTCCTCTTCAACTCACCTCCTTCTCCTCTGTTTACGGTTGTCATGACAACGATGGAATGAGCGTGCAGACACGTGACCGATGGAAAAAACCTCAATAAACCAACGAAGAAATAATAAACAAACAGAAATATCTTGAAAACTGTTAGCTGCACATTTATTGGCATTTAGATCCAAATATATTTTGTGCCAGGTAAAAGCTGTTCAGCCTTATCATTTGGTGATAAGGATATCTCATAAATTCCTCTTCAAATAGACCAATTACAATATTTTCAGTGTTCCAGTACCTAGGTTTCCATCCAATTGGCGACAGATTATTTTCGCACCAGAGATGTGTTTTGATCAAATTGAGTTGCAGATAAAAGGCTGTGCTTGATGACGTAGTGCACGTAACAATAACTTTCGCGGTTAAATTCCCATGTACCGAATAAAAAATACAAGTTAATTAAATGGGTTTCAATCGCATTTTCAACTCTACTGATGGTTTTCTCACAAAAATGTTTGCGTTATATTATAGCGAGTGTGCCCACTGTTAATGGCAAGAGTGCTCTAGCCGAAAGCTCTATGTGCGCGCTTTTGGCTAGCTAGTGCTGTTGGTTATGCTGCGTTCATAACAACTAAGAACTCGGGAACTGGCAACTCGGAAATCTCCGACTTCCGAATTCAGTGCGTTCAAAACAACTGGGAGCTTGTAAAAAAAAAAACCCAGCTCCGACTGGGAAATATCATTTTAAACCGTCATCCAACTCGGAATTCCAACTCGTGAACTCGGCTTCGTTCTAGCGGCTTTTTTCTAGAGCTACGATTTGAAGAGCACTGACGTCATGATTTGACCTCGTATTTTTCAGAGTTCCCAGTTGTCTTGAAATCACAATTTTTATGGACAGAAAGCAACATTTTTATGGACAAAGAAGCGAGATTATTTTTATTTGTCAAAGGCAGCCAAGCATCAATTATCATGTCACCAGAATAAAACCCTCGACATTTATTGGAAAGGAGCATCAAACTCATCACCCTGTGAAATGTATCATAACTTTCATCTGTAGCCTAAAAACGGCGTGCTTTCCCGACAAGTCCTAGTTGGAGGACCACACAACATGTCAACGCGTGACTCCCAAGTTTACTTCGATATAATGGTTATTATATCAACATTTACGCATAAAAGTGTTTCCACCGACATTTCTCGCATAATTCATTTTACCGACACAAAAAGATCCCACCTTTTCTAGCGTATTTTGTTTTGTCGACATTTGGAAAGTTTACCGAAAATGTTGCTGTTTCTTTACTCGCATAAACAGGTTGGATGGAAACCTGGTTAGTAACACTGATAAATATTGTATCTCATTTCCTTGTTGATTTACTTTGTTGCAACGCCAATGGCATTTTTGATAACTAGCCAGAGACCTCAGACACTCACCAGTTTCTTTGTACTGTTCTGACGTCAGTTGGAGACCAAAGCGGAGGTTGGGCGACCAGTGTGACTGTGAATGACAGTCCGGTGAAGCTCTGTGAAAGATCAAGGAAGTGATTGCTAAACCGCCCGAGTTGGACGAGAAACAAGACGTTTCTTTTGAAATTTTCCGCGATTTCAGCCACAGTAAGTTTGATCATTTATCTGTCCATGTCTGTGAGTTGATAGGTTCGGCGATTTAACACAGATAGACCTCCGTTTTTGTCTAGCATCGAGTGCACAAGGATGAGCAGAAAGTGAAGCGAGCGAGCCATGGTTATGTGAAGACAATGGTTCTAAACAAAGAGCTGTCGGATACATTGTAAGGAGGATTCAGCATGTAAATACATTGTATCTTTAGATTGGAGTATCGATTTGGTTACAATGTTGCTGATGATCATAATGATTGAAAACATTGACGATGTGGCTTTCTAGCAAACTGACAAATGTCCTACAATAGGCTTCGCTCTCTTTGATGTCTGTCACACGGGGAAGTCAAATGTGATTTTAATGGTCAATAAACGTTTTCATTGTTTTTTACCACAGTCCAAGAAAATGGTAAAATAACAGTATTGGGCTCTGTATAACAATCAAATATAATCTACAGGATGATAGATGGTAAAAAATGCATAAATGGGAAAAAGAGATGAAAAAAGAGAGAGAGAGAGAGGAGAGATACCTACCTATTGTCGACTGAACTTCAGTAATTAACTTCAGTAACTGGCTTTGAGGCTCTTTCACAATCTAAATGAAAAGCCCGGTCCAGTTGATGTCCAAGATTCCACGTATGAGGTTTTGCTATTAGCTGTAGCCAAACATTGTACTTGTTTTATGTTAACATTTGAGTCATATAGCAGACGCTCTTATCCAGAGCGACTTACAGTAGTTAGTGAATACATTTTAATAACTATTTTTTTTGTACTGGTCCCCCGTGGGAATCGAACCCACAACCCTGGCGCCATGCTCTACCAACTGAGCTACACGGGAAAGTAATTCAAGTTTTAGTGGGTTACTTAGTATGTAGAATGAATCCATTCAACTTGCAAAATGATGACGTAACCATATCAGTAGTGTAAATGACTAATGTCGTGGCAGAGGCTCATGCCAGAGTTACACAGTACAGTAGGCGTAGCTTAGCAAGCCAAGCTGTCGATATACAAGGTTGGTGGTTAAGTGCTTGGCAACGTCCTGTTCCCAGATCAAGATACTGGCATAGTAGGCTACTGGTATTCATGCTACACGTGATCCCCAGAGCATTAAGCTAAAGTTGTATGAATGCGATAAATAACTCTGATAACCCACTGAGCTGAGTGGCTGTGGGAAGACTACTGTAGCCTACTATGCCTTTCTGGAGAGTCGTTCCACGTCATTTCAACAAGCCATCATACCCACACCATCTCAGATAATTCTGAAATTGTTTCTGTAGTTTTGAAACGGGTAATATTGGCATTCCTGATTTTTTTTAAATTTTAAACAAAATAATAATAAAGGACGAACTGAATTGCTTTCGTGGAGGACTAGCTTGCATTGTGAGGATGACCACACAATATATTGTCACAATGAGCCAAATCTATTGGTTTTCTACCCAAAGTTGCAAAGGAAATGTTGTGATCTCCCGAGTGGCGCAGCGGTCTAAGGCACTGCATCTCAGTGCTCGAGGCGTCACTACAGACCCCCTGGTTCGATTCCAGGCTGTATCACAACCGGCCGTGATTGGGAGTCCCATAGGGAGAACATACACTATGAGAACATACAGAACATATAGAGACTATAGAGAACATACTATAGAGAACATACACTATGGAAATGGAACGGAGAGAGATGCCATATTCAGATGTCCTGCTGTGTTTGAAACTATCTTTAATTATTTTGCCCCATACAGGAGAACACCGCTTCTGAGGGGGTATTCCTGCAGTCTCTTGGCCATGTCTCCTGGGCCTCGCGTTGAGCTCACAGAATGGAACTGTAGGTCATCATCATCACTGTGAGACCTGCCCAGTCCCTGTTATCGCCCAATCATGGCCCCCGTGCCACCTGGCATCCGCTTCCTGGCCTCCTTCAACAGAGACCAGTGGTGAGTTTTGTTTGTCTGTCCGTCTGTCCGTCCGTCTGTCCACGTTCCCGCCTGTGTCCGTCTATCTGTCCGTCTATCTGCCTGTCTGTCTTGTTGTCTCTGTCATTCAGATAAAAATGCACTCTGTCATTAGTAGTTCATCAATTCATTCATCTAGATGGCAATGTCATCAGAACAATATGTGTGGATCAGGTCTAACAACAGTTGGTTCAAGAAGCAGGCTGTCCTCCTCTGACAAGTAAGCCTACTGATCATGTCACTCTTCTAATCAAACCAGATGTTCGGGTTTCTGTCTTTGCGTGTCTGCTTTCTAATTCCACAGAGTCCTGTCTGTCCACTTGGGTTGTGTGCTTGTCTTGACATTCTTTAGTGAAGGATATATAGCCCATCATTCAGTTGGTTTGTACTACTCTTGTTAATGGGGATTTGTCTCTGCTGGTCTGGCTCACACGTGGACTTAGCTGTAAATAGTTGATGACATATCATATCAGGGCTCGAGCCATACCGTGTGTGTGACCCTGTGTGTGTGTCGGTGTAATGTATGTACCGTTGCTTGCGCCTGTGTGTGCTGCCTGTATCAATTTCTATTTAGTTCAATAGAATTATGTGTGCGAGACAGGGAATTGGCCGGCCCACAGAGAATTAGATTTTATTTGCCTATCCCATTCATTATCAGGACCAGGAGTAGTTCCTGGTCAAGGTCAAACTGAAAAAAGATTGCGAAACCAAGTTCTTAACCTGAATTTTCATAGGGGTATTAAACTTTGAAGTATTTATTTGAACTCTGCCACATTTCATTGCATTCCGACTGCTAGTTATTCAGTGTGAGTGACGGTGGCATGCTGAGATCACGGCCGTAAACCTTTGGCCCTGTGTGACTGTAGCCAGTCTGTCTGGTGCTCTCAGAGCGGTGGAGCTGGGACAGTGGTGGTGTTCTGTGTTGTCACAGAGCCACTGACATGTTTTACACTAAATTACTGTTGACAGGGAAGACCAAACTGACTCCTTTCTGTCCTGCCTTGGGGGAGAACACAACCCCCTTTCCACTAGACACACACACAGAGATACAAACACACACGTGCTGCCCAGCTATTGTGATTGTGCATAGGCAATCAGGGATTCTCCCCTCTGACTGCTTTTCACCCCTTAGCAACTGGTCTCTAGGGCTGGTTTATGGTGGTGTGACATTACGATGTCCAGACTGTCATAAGTGTCTGTTTTAGGCTTGATCAGGGGCAGACCCACGTTGAGGTGGCTGTGTTTGGCTAGTTCAGGGGCAGACCCACGTCAGGGTGGCTGTGTTTGGCTAGTTCAGGGGCAGACCCACGTCAGGGTGGCTGTGTTTGGCTTGATCAGGGGCAGACCCACGTTGAGGTGGCTGTGTTTGGCTTGATCAGGGGCAGACCCACGTTGAGGTGGCTGTGTTTGGCTTGATCAGGGGCAGACCCACATTGAGGTGGCTGTGTTTGGCTTGATCAGGGGCAGACCCACGTTGAGGTGGCTGTGTTTGGCTAGTTCAGGGGCAGACCCACGTTGAGGTGGCTGTGTTTGGCTTGATCAGGGGCAGACCCACGTCAGGGTGGCTGTGTTTGGCTTGATCAGGGGCAGACCCACGTTGAGGTGGCTGTGTTTGGCTTGATCAGGGGCAGACCCACGTTGAGGTGGCTGTGTTTGGCTTGATCAGGGGCAGACCCACGTTGAGGTGGCTGTGTTTGGCTTGATCAGGGGCAGACCCACGTTGAGGTGGCTGTGTTTGGCTTGATCAGGGGCAGACCCACGTTGAGGTGGCTGTGTTTGGCTTGATCAGGGGCAGACCCACGTTGAGGTGGCTGTGTTTGGCTTGATCAGGGGCAGACCCACGTTGAGGTGGCTGTGTTTGACTAGGTCAGGGGCAGACCCACGTTGAGGTGGCTGTGTTTGGCTTGATCAGGGGCAGACCCACGTTGAGGTGGCTGTGTTTGGCTTGATCAGGGGCAGACCCACGTTGAGGTGGCTGTGTTTGGCTTGATCAGGGGCAGACCCACGTTGAGGTGGCTGTGTTTGACTAGGTCAGGGGCAGACCCACGTTGAGGTGGCTGTGTTTGGCTTGATCAGGGGCAGACCCACGTTGAGGTGGCTGTGTTTGGCTTGATCAGGGGCAGACCCACGTTGAGGTGGCTGTGTTTGGCTTGATCAGGGGCAGACCCACGTTGAGGTGGCTGTGTTTGACTAGGTCAGGGGCAGACCCACGTTGAGGTGGCTGTGTTTGGCTTGATCAGGGGCAGACACACGTTGAGGTGGCTGTGTTTGGCTTGATCAGGGGCAGACCCACGTCAGGGTCTGTCGAACTCGACTTAATTGTCCACCAGGAAATAACTGATAATGAGTGGGAGATCTAAAGGAACAGCACATAATGGTTTTTATTATACTGACCAGCTCTCACTGGGTTTATTATACTGACCGGCTCTCACTGGGTTTATTATACTGACCAGCTCTCACTGGGTTTATTATACTGACCAGCTCTCACTGGGTTTATTATACTGACCAGCTCTCACTGGGTTTATTATACTGACCAGCTCTCACTGGGTTTATTATAATGACCAGCTCTCACTGGGTTTATTATACTGACCAGCTCTCACTGGGTTTATTATACTGACCAGCTCTCACTGGGTTTATTATACTGACCAGCTCTCACTGGGTTTATTATACTGACCAGCTCTCACTGGGTTTATTATACTGACCAGCTCTCACTGGGGTTATTATACTGACCAGCTCTCACTGGGTTTATTATACTGACCAGCTCTCACTGGGTTTATTATACTGACCAGCTCTCACTGGGTTTATTATACTGACCAGCTCTCACTGGGTTTATTTATTTTCTGTTTACCATCAAACGTCACGTTTCAGTGATGCGTGTTGATCCCGACATCAAAAAGCTCTGTAGCAGTATAGCTAACGCTAATGTTGGGATCTTGACAAACTTAACAGTGAGTGAGTGATGACCATGAAAACACGTCAGACTGGTTATAGCTACTGCGTTTTCAACATGGATATTATTCTTCTGGCTTGATCTATTTGGGATATTTTACCTTACCTCGCTGGCTTGCTACCGTCTCGGTAATCAATCCTCTGATGACATCTGCGAGTTTGTAGATGATAACCATCTGATTTCTTGTTTGTTAACTGCATTTGAAGTTGCATGTGATCCACTGCCAGGTCAACAAAGAGCTTTCTGATGACGAATTGCGCGCTCAACTTTTCATGACGCGGCCGGGAAATGGGTCTATATCTGACCCTGTATCAGTGGATGAACGCCACCCACTGACTACCTCCTCCTCCTCCAGTCCCTTACTGCTGCCCCCTGTGTTATGTTGTCTCCCTCTAGGTACAGAGCCTCCAGTCCCTTACTGCTGCCCCCTGTGTTATGTTGTCTCCCTCTAGGTACAGAGCCTCCAGTCCCTTACTGCTGCCCCCTGTGTTGTGTTGTCTCCCTCTAGGTACAGAGCCTCCAGTCCCTTACTGCTGCCCCCTGTGTTATGTTGTCTCCCTCTAGGTACAGAGCCTCCAGTCCCTTACTGCTGCCCCCTGTGTTGTGTTGTCTCCCTCTAGGTACAGAGCCTCCAGTCCCTTACTGCTGCCCCCTGTGTTATGTTGTCTCCCTCTAGGTACAGAGCCTCCAGTCCCTTACTGCTGCCCCCTGTGTTATGTTGTCTCCCTCTAGGTACAGAGCCTCCAGTCCCTTACTGCTGCCCCCTGTGTTATGTTGTCTCCCTCTAGGTACAGAGCCTCCAGTCCCTTACTGCTGCCTCCTGTGTTATGTTGTCTCCCTCTAGGTACAGAGCCTCCAGTCCCTTACTGCTGCCCCCTGTGTTATGTTGTCTCCCTCTAGGTACAGAGCCTTCACATTTGGCCTCACCTTCCTGCTGTACACCAGCTTCCACCTGTCCAGAAAACCCATCAGCATTGTCAAGGTAACACACACACACACACACACACACACACAGACACTGATGTATCCTATAGGCAATTCACTGTACTACACTGGCATATTGCATAATAAGAGACTTACTCACTATACACTCGTCTCCACGCACTATACAGACATGTTCTCAGCACAGGTGCTATTGTAAGCAGTCACAGTGCAGAGCCAGGGCATTAACCCTTTTTATAAACCGGGTGGTTCGAGCCCTGAATGCTGATTTATTTGGCTGAAAGCCGCGGTATATCAGACCGTATACCACTGGTATGACCAAAAATTACGCTAGTAACCAGTATAATAGCAATAAGGCACCTTGGGTGTTTGTGGTATATGGCCAATGTACCACGGCTAAGGGCTGTATCCAGGCACTGTGCGTTGCTTGGTTACCAAGGCAACTACTGTCACTATCAAATAAACTTGCTAGCTACTTCAGTGGATGTTGAACACATTTCTAGCAGCAAATGTGTTAAATGATAGCCTTGGTATAAAAGGGATAATCAACTCGGGGCTCTATGCGTTCTCTGGAAAATAATGCAACTCCGTGATAGGTCAGTTTCACTCCACTAGCACGTTGTGGACCACACCTTCCACATTGTTCCTTATTTTCCAGAGAACGCATAGATCCCCTTGTTGATTATCTCTTACATGGAACTGTCCCGTGTAGCTCAGTTGGTAGAGCATGGCGGTTGCAACGCCAGGGTTGTGGGTTCGATTCCCACCGGGGGACTAGTATGAAAATGTATGTACTCACTAACTGTAAGTCGCTCTGGATAAGAGCGTCTGCTAAATGACTAAAATGTAACTGATGTTATCATCTACCATTGTCTAATTTGGAACCATAGCATGGCTGCACACTGCTTGATATTGGAATGAATGTATGACAAGCTAAATGTATGCTGTAGCTTGTGCTTTTTTTTTTTTTCATTTTGAGGGTGTTTTGGACTGAGTAATGAATATGCATGTTTTCTCATGGTGGTTATACTTGCTCCATAGAGTGAGCTGCATAAGAACTGCTCAGCTCTCCATGAGCTCTCCTTAGCTGGTAGTAGGCAGCCGCAGAGCCTCCACACAGACTGCAGCTGGAAACCCTTTGGTAAGAATCCTTGTTCTCCCCCGTCTTCCTCTGCCTGACGCTCTTCCTCTGCCTGACGCTCTTCCTCTGCCTGACGCTCTTCCTCTGCCTGACGCTCTTCCTCTGCCTGACGCTCTTCCTCTGCCTGACGCTCTTTCTCTGCCTGACGCTCTTTCTCTGCCTGACGCTCTTTCTCTGCCTGACGCTCTTTCTCTGCCTGACGCTCTTCCTCTGCCTGACGCTCTTCCTCTGCCTGACGCTCTTTCTCTGCCTGACGCTCTTTCTCTGCCTGACGCTCTTTCTCTGCCTGACGCTCTTCCTCTGCCTGACGCTCTTCCTCTGCCTGACGCTCTTCCTCTGCCTGACGCTCTTCCTCTGCCTGACGCTCTTCCTCTGATGACCCTCTTCTTCTCAATCCCTCTTACACCAATTCCCATTCCATCCCACCTATTCCACCTACCTACCTTCCCATTCCACCTACCTACCTACCTTCCCATTCCATCCCACCTATTCCACCTACCTACCTTCATTCCATCCCACTAGTTCCACCTCCTCCTTCCCATTCCATCCCACCTATCCACCTACCTACCTTCCCATTCCATCCCACCTATGCCACCACCTACTACCTTCCATTCCATCCCACCTATCCACCTACCTACCCTTCCCCATTCCATCCCACCTATTCCACCTACCTACCTACCTTCCCATTCCAGCCACCTATTCCACCTACCTACCACCTCCACATCCCATTCCATCCCACCTTCCCCCACTACCTCCCATCCCCATTCCACCACTATCCACACTACCTACCTTCACCATCCCCCACCTATTCACATACCCACCATCCACCTACCACCTACTACCTCCTCCCATTCCATCCCACCTATTCCACCTACCTACCTTCCCATTCCATCCCACCTATTCCACCTACCTACCTTCCCATTCCATCCCACCTATTCCACCTACCTACCTTCCCATTCCATCCCACCTATTCCACCTACCTACCTTCCCATTCCATCCCACCTATTCCACCTACCTACCTTCCCATTCCATCCCACCTATGCCACCTACCTACATTCCCATTCCATCCCACCTATTCCACCTACCCACCTTCCCATCCCACCTATTCCACCTACCTACTTTCCCTACACATTTTTTGTCGATCCCATAACCAAATCCAGGGGTCTGTATTCAGATAAGTGGCCCTTGGTGGAATTGATGTTATTCTCATGCAAAACCTATTTTCACAATTTCTAGATAAAAGCAACTATAAGCAGCTTCTGGGAGCCATGGACTACTCCTTCCTCTGTGCCTACGCTGTGGGAATGTTCCTCAGGTAAAGCTTCAACTAGGCTCTCCACTTGACCTGACCAGGGGAAATTTCTGGGTGTGTTGTTAGCAAAAAAAGTGCCTGGAGTTGATCCTGGACAGGTCAGTTGATTAGGAAAACCCATTAATAAAAAAATGCACCCACCAATGACTTACTGCTAGCTGCTACTTTACCTTGAGCGAGAGTGACAACGCTCAAGATCTGAGTCGGTGACAGTTTGTGTTCTATAAGAGGCCCAGTGATTTTATGTCCTGAACCTGGGAGGAGATTGTGTCACGTCCCGTGATTGTGTCTAGAAAAATAGATAGTTTTAAAGCTACAAGCATTCACTCAGCAGGCTGTTGTTGCTAACGTCCTTCAGCTTGCACAACCTGTGCTAGATAGGCTAGAGCAGGGCTACCCGACCCTCTTCCTGGAGATCTACCGTCCTGTGGGTTTTCAGTCCGACCCTCTTCCTGGAGATCTACCGTCCTGTGGGTTTTCAGTCCGACCCTCTTCCTGGAGACCTACCGTCCTGTGGGTTTTCAGTCCGACCCTCTTCCTGGAGATCTACCGTCCTGTGGGTTTTCAGTCCGACCCTCTTCCTGGAGACCTACCGTCCTAATGGAAGTAGCAGTAGAATATTGTTGTCCATTAGTTTACTCCAATCGGGGAGGGGGGGAATTATTAATAAAAATAAGGGGGATTAGAAATGATGCAAATCATTAAATTGATAGAACATTGACATTGAATTATGTTTTTTCATTTAAAACTGATGTTCTTTTATATATCTGGGGGAGAAGATGCTGAGAAGACACCAGACATTTTGCCAGCTTGCTTTGATCTGATGCATTGTTAATATGTCATCATTGTGCGTCCTGCAGTGGCATCATCGGCGAGCGCCTGCCCATCCGTCTGTACCTGACGTTTGGGATGCTGATGAGTGGCCTCTTCACCTGCCTGTTTGGTCTGGGCCGCATCTACAACATCCACAACCTCAGCTTCTATATAATTGTCCAGGTGATTCACACACATACCTAGAATGCCCCCCCCCCCCCCCCCCCCACACACACACACACACACACACACACACACACACACACACACACGTTGGAGTTGAGAGATCAGAGGACAATTATTCTGTATTCTGAATGTTTTTCTAGCTGCTCTCATTGCTCCCAAGTCTAACATACTCCTCTGTGTGCTTGTCCTCTGCCTCAGGTGGCCAATGGCTTGGTTCAGACTACTGGCTGGCCCAGTGTTGTCACATGCATCGGGAACTGGTTTGGGAAGGGAAGGTAAACCACAATATCTGGTATTATTCTACTGATTCCTCTATAGTTCAGATACATTGAAGTTAATATGAGATGCATCGAAGTTACAATAGTATTTTAACTATGTTAACTGGTTTCCCTGGTCGGAGGGGTCTGATCATGGGCCTGTTCAAGTCATAACACTATCCTAACCCTGTTTTAACTGGTTCTCTCTACAGGAGGGGTCTCATCATGGGCGTATGGAACTCCCACACCTCCGTAGGCAACATCCTGGGCTCTTTGATCGCAGGTTACTGGGTCTCCTCCAACTGGGGCTTGTCCTTCATCGTCCCCGGCCTCGTCATCGCTTTCATGGGTGTCGTCTGCTTCCTCTTCCTCATCGAACGTGAGTACTGCTCTGCGACTGGTTGGAGGAAGAGACTCTCTTTCCATTGACCTCAGAGAAGTTTTGATGCATGATTTATGTGATGGTAAAAGTTTTGCATGCTGAAATTCACAACTAATCTGACTGGTTTTCTCTGTAGATCCAAATGATCTGAGAAGCATCCATGATGTACAGAGCCCTGCTCCCAGCAACAATGTGAGTGCTTAACATGTCTCTCTTGGTCCAAAGCATCTCTACTAAGTATAGATATAATATGGGGACATTTCAGAGGTATAAATACACAAACATATTCATGAATCACAGACAGACAAAGCCCATTTTATGCTTAGTGTAAGTACCATTTTTGTAAATGTGTGTGGACATTTGTTTGTTTGTTTGTTTTGTGAGCCATGAGTGGAGCCCACGTCTTCAGAATTTGCCTGAATAGCATCGTTTCCATGACAACTGTCTCCCACTTTAGCTCATTGCGTAGCGGGAGAGTAGCTGAGTGTCTCCGAGAGCGTGGGCTGGCTCTGGTAAAAAAAAAAAAAAAGGCCTCTCTGGAGACAGACACACATCAAAAAGGGATAAAACATAATTAACGTTTACCATGTGGGTGGATTCATTGTATAAGCTTTATTTAGGGTTCTTCTTGATTGACAGGTGTTGTTTTCATTCTCACACACTAGTTTGAACTGCATTGCAGATGTTTACATTGGTGGCTGCTGGAGCACTATATCATGATGGTGAAAACTGAATGTACAGTGGCTTGTGAAAGTATTCACCCCCCTTGGCATTTTTCCTATTTTGTTGCCTTACAACCTGGAATTAAAATTGATGTTGTATCATTTGATTTACACAACATGCCTACCACAAAATATTTTTTATTGTGAAACAAACAAGAAATAATACAAAAAAACAGAAAGCTTGAGCGTGCATAGCTATTCATCCCCCCCAAAGTCAATACTTTGTAGAGCCACCTTTTGCAGCAATTACAGCTGCAAGTCTCTTGGGGTATGTCTCTATAAGCTTGGCACATCTAGCCACTGGGATTTTTGCCCATTCTTCAAGGCAAAACTGCTCCAGCTCCTTCAAGTTGGATGGGTTCCGCTGGTGTACAGCAATCTTTAAGTCATTCCACAGATTCTCAATTGGATTGAGGTCTGGGCTTTGACTAGAACATTCCAAGACATTTAAATGTTTCCCCTTAAACCACTCAAGTGTTGCTTTAGCAGTATGCTTAGGGTCATTGTCTTGCTGGAAGGTGAACCTGCATCCCAGCCTCAAATCTCTGAAAGTCTGAAACAGGTTTCCCTCAAGAATTTCCCTGTATTTAGCGCCATCCATCATTCCTTCAATACTGACCAGTTTCTCAGTCCCTGCCGGTGGAAAAACATCCCCACAGTATGATGCTGCCACCACCATGCTTCACTGTGGGGATGGTGTTCTCGGGGTGATGAGAGGTGTTTTGTTTGCGCCAGACATAGCGTTTTCCTTGATGGCCAAAAAGCTCAATTTTAGTCTCATCTGACCAGAGTACCTTCTTCCATATGTTTGCTTATTTTTTTCTTTAAGCAATGGCTTTTTTCTGGCCACTCTTCCGTAAAGCCCAGCTCTGTGGAGTGTACGGCTTAAAGTGGTCCTATGGACAGATACTCCAATCTCCGCTGTGGAGCTTTGCAGCTCCTTCAGGGTTATCTTTAGTCTCTTTGTTGCCTCTGATTAATGCCCTCCTTGCCTGGTCCATGGGTTTTGGTGGGCGGCCCTCTCTTGGCAGGTTTGTTGTGGTGCCATATTCTTTCCATTTTGTAATAAATTATTTAATGGTGCTCCGTGGTTTCTGATATTTTTTTATAACCCAACCCTGATCTGTACTTCTCCACAACTTTGTCCCTGACCTGTTTGGAGAGCTCCTTGGTCTTCATGGTGCCACTTGCTTGGTGGTGCCCCTTGCTTAGTGGTTTTGTAGACTCTGGGGCCTTTCAGAACAGGTGTATATATATATATATACTGAGATCATGTGACAGATCATGTGACACTTAGATTGCACACAGGTGGACTTTATTTAACGAATTATGTGACTTCTGGAGGTAATTGGTTGCACCAGATCTTATTTAGGGGCTTCATAGCAAAGGGGGTGAATACATATGCACGCACCACTTTTCCGTTATTAATGTTTTAGAATTGTTTGAAACAAGTTATTTTTTTCATTTCACTTCACCAATTTTGACTATTTTGTGTGTGTCCATTACATGAAATCAAAATAAAATCCATTACAGGTTGTAATGCAACAAAATAGGAAAAACACCAAGGGGGATGAATACTTTTGCAAGGCACTGTAGCTTCATATGGACTCTGTAACATGATGGTAAACAGTATTGTACTTGGTTTTGTTTCCTCCTCATGTAAATGCTGACCAAGAGCTGGAAGGAGGTGAATGGACACAAGCAGCTCTGTCATTCGTACAAACAAGGAGGCAAATCTCAGGTGAGTGTCTGTTTTTATCTGAGTTTGTCTGTGTTTACGTTAGTGTCTGTATATAGATCTTAGTGTTATTAACCCTCCGTCTCCCTCTCAGAACTGGGACACAGATTTGCTGCTCCCTGTACAGCAGGTGGTGGTGGTGAAGAGTGAATCAGAGCCGTCGGCCATCAGCTTCATGGGAGCCTTACGCATACCGGTCAGTCACCTGAGCTCACATATCACACACACTGTTTTGTATTGATATCCTTGTGGGGACCAAAGAATGGATTCCCATCCAAAATCCTATTTTCCTTAACCCTAAACCCCTAACCCTAAAATTACACCTAACCCTAACTCCTAACCCTAAAACTACACCTAACTCCTAACACTACACCTAACCGTAACCACTAACCCTAAAACTTAACCCTAACTCCTAACCCTAAACCTAACCGTAACCCTAAAACTACACCTAACCCTAACTCCTAAACCTAACCGTAACCCCTAACCCTAAAACTACACTTAACCCTAACTCCTAACCCTAAACCTAATCGTAACCACTAACCCTAAAACTACACTTAACCCTAACTCCTAACCCTAAAACTACACTTAACCCTAACTCCTAACCCTAAACCTAACCGTAACCCCTAACCCTAAAACTACACTTAACCCTAACTCCTAACCCTACACCTAACCGTAACCACTAACCCTAAAACTACACTTAACCCTAACTCCTAACCCTACACCTAACCGTAACCCCTAACCCTAAAACTACACTTAACCCTAACTCCTAACCCTAAACCTAACCTTAACCCCTAACCCTAATTGTACCCCTAACCCCTAAAAGCCTAAAATAGCATTTATCCTCCTGAGGACCGGCTAAATGTCCCCACTGGTCAGAATTGTCCTTGTTGAACTATCCTTGTGAGGACTTCTGGTACCAACAAGGATAGTTAAACAAACACACTCACACTGCTGCTGAGGGGAGGACGGCTCATAACAATGGCTGGAACGGAGCAAATGGAAAGGCATCAAACCATGTGTCTGATGTATTTCATACCGTTGCACTGATTCCGCTCCAGCTATTACCACGAGCCCTCCCCAATTAAGGTGCCACCAACCTCCTGTGACACACGCACCAACGCCCACGCCCTGTTCCCCAAAGCCAGGGTGTCAAACTCATTTCCTGGAAGGGCGTGTATCGGCTGGTTTTTGTTATTTCCCTAAACATACACCATACAAAGTACCTTTCTATTCTGGACAACTATAAAGCTTTATTTGTTGACAGTATGATTCTGTCTTTCTCCCTCCAGGGAGTGATAGAGTTCTCTCTGTGTCTGCTGTTTGCCAAGCTGGTCAGCTACACCTTCCTCTTCTGGCTGCCGCTCTACATCACTAAAGCAGGTGTGTACATTACGCTACACTCAGTCCACCAACACCCTTTCCCCTGCTACATCCGTATAGGAACTCTGTCTGGGCATTGTTGTAAGATACAAGATCTACAAGATATACAGGATGTGTCAGGGCATTCAGTCTTTGTCTGATACCTATCTGACATTAGGTCTTGATGTTCTGTGGTCAGCTCTGCCAGGTAGTATTCCTAAGCTCTGCCACGTAGTATTCCTAAGCTCTGCCAGGTAGTATTCCTAAACTCTGCCAGGTAGTATTCCTAAGCTCTGCCAGGTAGTATTCCTAAACTCTGCCAGGTAGTATTCCTAAGCTCTGCCAGGTAGTATTCCTAAGCTCTGCCAGGTAGTATTCCTAAGCTCTGCCACATAGTATTCCTAAGCTCTGCCACGTAGTATTCCTAAGCTCTGCCACATAGTATTCCTAAGCTCTGCCACGTAGTATTCCTAAGCTCTGCCAGGTAGTATTCCCTAAGCTCTGCCAGGTAGTATTCCCTAAGCTCTGCCACGTAGTATTCCCTAAGCTCTGCCAGGTAGTATTCATAAGCTCTGCCAGGTAGTATTCCTAAGCTCTGCCACGTAGTATTCCTAAGCTCTGCCACGTAGTATTATTAGTATCTCTTGTTTTGTTTGCCAGAGGGTGTGTTGAGAAAATGTGTTGTTTGTCTGTCTCAGCTCACCTAGATGCCAAGAAGGCCGGAGATCTCTCCACTCTGTTTGACGTGGGAGGAATTGTGGGTATGTTCCCTTTTTTTGTTTTTACATCTGTTCTTTTCATGTAGCTTCATGATGTCAAAACGAACCATATCATTTTCTTGTGATCTGGACGTTTATGCACCTTTGTGTGTGTTTTGTGTCAGAGATTTTATTCGTCAAGATTATCATTGGGAATGAATAGACATCATTCCTGCATCATTGGAATTGAACTACCCTCAAACCACTCCTTTCTTCTTACTTGTTGTGCTCATCACATCTTTTCCCTCTCTCCCTCTCTCCCTCTCTGTCTCTCTGTGTCTGTCTGTCTCTCCCTCTCTGTCTGTCTCTCTGTCTCTCTATCTCTCTGCCTCTCTGTGTCTGTCTGTCTGTCTAGGGGGAATCCTGGCTGGGGTCATATCTGATAAGCTGGGAAAGAGGGCCACCACCTGTGCAGTGATGCTGCTGCTGGCTGCTCCTACTGTGAGTCTCTCTCTCTCTCTCTCTCTCTTTTTTTCTCGCTCTCTCGCTCTCTCGCTCTCTCGCTCTGTCTGTCTCTGAGTCTCACTCTCTGCCTCCCCCTGTTGTACAGGACAGGAGTCACAGTTGATCATCTCAATGAATAAAATGATAAGCATGCATCGTGAATCTTACAGGACATGTACACTGCGTGTACAAAACATTAAAAACACCTTCCTAATATTAAGTTGCACCACCCACTTTTGCCTTCAGAACAGCCTCAATTGGTTGGGGCATGGACTCTGCAAGGTGTCAAGTGATCCACAGGGATGCTGGCCCATGTTGACTCCAATGCTTCCCACAGTTTTCAAGTTGGCTAGATGTCCTTTGGGTGGTGGACCATTCTTGATACACACGGGAAACGGTTAAGTGTAAAAAACCCAGCAGCGTTGCAGTTCTTGATACAAACCAGTGCGCCTGGCACATACAACCATACCCTGTTCAAAGGCACTTAAATATTTTATCTTACCCATTAACACTCTGAATGGCACACATACACAATCTTCACTGAACAAAAATATAAACGCAACATGTGAAGTGGATTTGACATGTGACATCATTGAGGGATCATAGCTTTCACCTAGTCAGTCTGTCATGGAAAGAGCAGGTGTTCTTAATGTTTTGTCCACTCAGTGTATTTGACAGCTGTTTTGTTCATTATTTCAGCTTTATGGCTTTTCTATGATCAGTGAGTTTGGACTGGGACCCACCATCGGTATGGATCAATTCTCATATACTCCAGTTTGTGTTGAGGGATTGACTGAATCCCACTCCTGAGCCCATTGACTTCTATAACAAAAATAAATAAATAAATGTATGCACTCACTAACTGTAAATCGCTCTGGATAAGAGCGTCTGCTAAATGACTAAAATGTTAAAAAAATATATAAATATTGGCTGTGCTATTTTGACTGTCAATGACCAACAGGTGAACAGAATTATGTCACAAGCTTGGTTGGTTTTGACATTCAACCAACGATCAAGTGAATCATGTTTGGATGTGCCGTGTACCCCGTAGGTATGCTGCTGGTGTGTGGAGGTCTAGTGAATGGACCATATGCCCTTATTACAACCGCAGTGTCTGCTGATCTGGTGAGTGAGAGTGTGTGTGAGCGTGAGAGTGAGAGTGTGAGTGAGAGTGAGAGTGAGAGTGAGAGTGTGAGTGTGAGTGAGAGTGAGAGTGAGAGTGTGAGTGAGAGTGAGAGTGAGAGTGAGAGTGAGAGTGAGAGTGAGAGTGAGAGTGAGAGTGAGAGTGAGAGTGAGAGTGTGAGTGTGAGTGTGAGTGTGAGTGTGAGTGTGAGTGTGAGTGTGAGTGTGAGTGTGAGTGGAGTGAGAGTGAGAGTGAGAGTGAGAGTGAGAGTGAGAGTGAGAGTGAGAGTGAGAGTGAGAGTGAGAGTGAGAGTGAGAGTGTGAGTGTGTTGCGAGTCTGTCTCGCTATCCTTTTACACTGTTTATAATCCTCCCTAGTTTTATCTTCCTGTGCCCTTTTTGAACGGCCATACTATTTCAGTATTTCCTGTGTGTGGGCCTCTCTCTGACCTCAAATCCCTCTCTGTTTTGACCTTTGACTCCAGGGAACACACAAGAGCCTGAAGGGCAACTCCAGGGCCCTTTCAACTGTCACAGCCATCATCGACGGCACAGGATCAGTAGGTTAGTCTCATACACTCCTCAGCCATCATCGACGGCACAGGATCAGTAGGTTAGTCTCATACACTCCTCAGCCATCATCGACGGCACAGGATCAGTAGGTTAGTCTCATACACTCCTCAGCCATCATCGACGGCACAGGATCAGTAGGTTAGTCTCATACACTCCTCAGCCATCATCGACGGCACAGGATCAGTAGGTTAGTCTCATACACTCCTCAGCCATCATCGACGGCACAGGATCAGTAGGTTAGTCTCATACACTCCTCAGCCATCATCGACGGCACAGGATCAGTAGGTTAGTCTCATACACTCCTCAGCCATCATCGACGGCACAGGATCAGTAGGTTAGTCTCATACACTCCTCAGCCATCATCGACGGCACAGGATCAGTAGGTTAGTCTCATACACTCCTCAGCCATCATCGACGGCACAGGATCAGTAGGTTAGTCTCATACACTCCTCAGCCATCATCGACGGCACAGGATCAGTAGGTTAGTCTCATACACTCCTCAGCCATCATCGACGGCACAGGATCAGTAGGTTAGTTTCATACACTCCTCAGCCATCATCGACGGCACAGGATCAGTAGGTTAGTCTCATACACTACTCAGCCATCATCGACGGCACAGGATCAGTAGGTTAGTCTCATACACTCCTCAGCCATCATCGACGGCACAGGATCAGTAGGTTAGTCTCATACACTCCTCAGCCATCATCGACGGCACAGGATCAGTAGGTTAGTCTCATACACTCCTCAGCCATCATCGACGGCACAGGATCAGTAGGTTAGTCTCATACACTCCTCAGCCATCATCGACGGCACAGGATCAGTAGGTTAGTCTCATACACTCCTCAGCCATCATCGACGGCACAGGATCAGTAGGTTAGTCTCATACACTACTCAGCCATCATCGACGGCACAGGATCAGTAGGTTAGTCTCATACACTCCTCAGCCATCATCGACGGCACAGGATCAGTAGGTTAGTCTCATACACTCCTCAGCCATCATCGACGGCACAGGATCAGTAGGTTAGTCTCATACACTCCTCAGCCATCATCGACGGCACAGGATCAGTAGGTTAGTCTCATACACTCCTCAGCCATCATCGACGGCACAGGATCAGTAGGTTAGTCTCATACACTCCTCAGCCATCATCGACGGCACAGGATCAGTAGGTTAGTCTCATACACTCCTCAGCCATGATCGACGGCACAGGATCAGTAGGTTAGTCTCATACACTCCTCAGCCATCATCGACGGCACAGGATCAGTAGGTTAGTCTCATACACTCCTCAGCCATCATCGACGGCACAGGATCAGTAGGTTAGTCTCATACACTCCTCTCCTGTTGCCTCCAACCATACCAGTCAGATCCTACATGATGAAGTAGCTCCACAAGGCAATGGGTTGCTTTAGAATTCAGCATAGGACTATCTCTGTGACTTACTAACGGTCCTCTGATGTTATGTGTTCTTCTCAGGTGCAGCGATAGGCCCCCTCCTGGCAGGAGTGTTGTCGTCACGGGGATGGTACCAGGTCTTCTACATGCTGATGGCAGCGGACTTCCTAGCACTGTTGGTTTGTACTGATGCTAATCTTCTAAATAGTTGACCTGAAATGTGCATTTAATGTGTGTGGATCTCATAGAATGAGGCTTTAATGTGTGTGGATGTGTTTTCTCTGTAGCTGTTGCTGCGGCTGGTGACGAAGGAGCTGACCTCCGCTAACGTGGTTAAACCTCGTTCTGGCAGCACCACCGTAGAGTGAGTGACTTCTCTCTGTTTGGTATAGATTCTACCTATTGTACTATGGTGGTATCCAGGTTATATAAACATGACTGAGGCCACTGATCATGTTCTAAGATCATACCCAGAAGACCTGCTAACCTCCCCTGTTATTGGTAATAGTGAGAGGTTACCATGTCTTGCGGGTATGATCTTTGACCCTCTGTAACTTTCTCATTCATCATTATTCACGATTCATTAAGGATTATATTTAGGGGCTTCATAGCAAAGAGGGTGAATACATATGCGCACACCACTTTTCCGTTATTTATTTTTTAGAATTTTTTGAAACAAGAATACTTTTGCAAGGCACTGTACATGGCTCCTAGCCTACCATGCATATTGCTACTTTCTGTCCCTAACACTAAAACTAAATAAATAAATAACGAAATATAAATGTTTTTATCAACTAGTAAATCAAGTCTGAAAACTAACTGAAACTAAACAGAATTTCTAAATAGAAATAAAAACGAATAGAAAATCCCAACTATAATAACCTTGTGAAGTCTACAGGTACGTTAGCGTTCGTCTGACTCAGGGTAGAAGAACAACCAAACAAAAATAATAATTAATTAATTAATTGCCAGAATCTTACTAATTAATTACTTTTTAGTAGAAAAAGAATTAAACAAATTCCATGAGAATCTCCATATATCGAATGATCTACTATCACGCGTTCAATTCACCAAATTCCTAGGTGTCCTTATTGACGAAAAAACATCTGTCTGTCTCATCTCATCCCAAGAAAATATTAGTTTGATCTATTGCCTACCACACCTTAATTACATTTACATTTTAGTCATTTAGCAGACGCTCTTATCCAGAGCGACTTACAGTTAGTGTATGCATACATGTTTTGTTTTTTTCATACTGGCCCCCCGTGGGAAACGAACCCACATCGCTGCCGGCCAAACCCTCCCCTACCTTGGCGACGCTGGACCGATTGTGCGCCGCCCATGGGTCTTCTGGTCGCGGCCGGCTGCGACAGAGCCTGGATCTCTAGTGGCACAGCTAGCACTGCGATGCAGTGCCTTAGACCACTGCGCCACTCGGGAGACCCAAATCTACTCATTTGTCTCATATTGCAATATAGTCTGGGCCACTACTTATAAAAGCAACCTCAATAACATCTTCCATCTCCAAAAACGTTTTGTGAGGATGGCAACTCACTCAGACAGTCATGCCAGTTCCTCACCTTCAAATCCTCTATTTATGTCAACCAACACTTCCAAGTGTGTCTGTTTTGTGTTCCAATTCAAAATGAATCTACTCCCCGTTTCTTTTCAAACACCTATTCAAATTCAATATTCAGGTTCATCATTACTCTACAGGAACTGCCAGCGATCTCCACTTCCCATTTTTTCGTACAAGATTAGGTCAATCTTCCATCACATCCGTTTTTTTTGGAACAGTCTCCCGGACCACCCAATGATGTATATAAACCCTGGATTGCTGATCCTATGTATTGGCCATTGAGAGGCTTTGAAGCCACCCGTCGGCCATATTGTCACTCCCCAGTAGGAGCAGTCCTCCATAGGAATGAATGGTATTCTACAGTATTTCAATTAAACGTTTCAAGGACATAATTACATGTATTTAAGTATTTTTCTGCTGTAGTGGGGACAGTAACATTAGTAATTTCAAACAATTATACTTTTAAGAAATGTTTTGTATATATTTATTCATTTTTTGTATTTATGTTGAGCTCATATAATTTAAAAGTATGCATTGTAATGGAATTTTTTGCAATGGTGGGGGAGTGCCAAGATGGAGGTGCGGTGGCATTAAAACAGCGCCCCCTGTCAGTCATCTAGTGTATATATGTTATTGGAACCACCTCATGCACTGCAACACCTTAAACTCCTTCAAATACAAAATTAACAAATATCTACTAGACATTCCATACAATGACTCATCCCAATAACCTTCTGCCATATATCCATAACAATTATGCTGATTCATGATTTCGACTGGCTGAGAAAAGCTGCCTGCTTTTCTGCCTCGGCCTGACTCCTGACCCCTACGCTTCATTACTATGGGACAGCTGGAGATCGAATTTCAATATTGAAACAATGTTACAAATGTCAAGAGAGACAGAAAGCAAGGTTTATACAAATCTCCGCTATTGAAAACCAATTGCTAGTCTAAAAGAAAGTGGAGATTTAAGTTTATAAATTGCCTGGCTGGGCTGATGAGACAGTGGATTGCGCAGTCAGATGGAACAGAGTAAATAGGCATTTCAACATCATAGCTTTAGCCGGTGGTAACTTGTGGAATAGACACGGGCTGGAATGCGGTTTTAACCAATCATCATCCAGGATTAGACCCAACCGTTGGATAAATCCCAATAACCTTCTGCCTATCTGTCACTCATTTTGATTATTTAACTTAAATCTCCTTTCTTTTTTTTACCCAATTCATCATGTTTTCATTTTTTTTTTCATTTGTGTAAATCTATTTGTTTCTTAAATCAGGATACTTTTTATTTTTATTTTTATGTTCTATAAACATTTGAAAGGGAGAGGTGCCTTAACGAGCAAATAAATAAATCATAGTTACTGATCAAAGTCTGTTTTTCTGTTTCTCTCTTTTAGGATGAAGGAGCACTAAGCACTTGCACTAAACTCCAGACAGAGGAGCGAACAGACTTAGTACAGACACACACACTGCATCTTATACCACTAACCTGTACCTCTGTCCAGTAACTGAACTAGTGTGAAGCAGCACCTCTTGGAACCGAATGAAAGCCGATGAAGATTCAGTAACAGAGGATAATAAAGTAACCAAGCCAGCCAAAGTTCATCTCAGCACAAACCACTACAACTTTTCTTTTAGTTGTTCTACAGCACACTGGGCTTAAAAAAATAAAAATGGTTTACTGTCACATCTGCCTTATGGAACCAAAGATTGTGGGGAAATGCATTATAATTTATATGAAATTATTATTATTATTATTATTATTTAAGTTGACATATTATTCTGTTCTGCTGTGTATTTTCTCTGTAAATAAAGTAATATGCAGGGACTGCAATGTATTTTTATATGATCACCAAATTATGTTTATGTTTGGTGACTTGAATCCTATGAATGTAAAATGTGTGTTTGAGTATGAAATTCTATATACCAACTCTAACTGATGAGGAGGATCAATCATTTCTCAGTAAGCTTTCTTTAGGCAGTGCGATGTTGAAAACTATAGTGATGTTCTTATGTAGAAAATATCAAATGCCATCATCCCAAACCTTAAACACTCACATAAAGTGAGTTCATTTAGTCTTGCCTCTAGAATTGTGAACATTTTGAATGTGTTCCTTTGACTAATGCTTGCTACCTCGAGTCCTTAGAGTGTTACGCACAAAATGCCAAATGTGTGAAATAAGGCAGGCTATAATAATCTGAGAAAATCATCTATATTCTTTACTTTCATGATGGCACATGTGGAGGCTGTAGTCAATTCCAATTCACTTCCTGTATTAAACTGAATTGAAATGGAAAAGACCCCATCCAACAACATGTCCATTTTATTTATGTGGAGATAGAGCATATCTTCGTGGAAGAGAACTTCAGTGGTAGTACTTGAAATACTGTGTGCCTTTTTGTTTGTTGGGCAGTTGCTTTGTTCTGTCACTTATGTCTGAACCTTACCTGATTACCATAACTACACAGTCTTGGTGAAAATTGTAGATTTGTAAAGACTTGGTATATAAATAAAAAAGATGGCGTGGCTGCATTACTGAATTCTCTGGATGCCTCTATACCCCAAGCAAAAATATCTCAGTCTTGGTTTTGAAGCATAATGTTGAGTTTTTTTTGTCCACCAGGCTAAATGTGTTCCAGTCAGGGGTCAGAGTGGTCTGAAGGCAAGCTGTATCAGCTGGAGGTGGCAGGTGTCAACCAAAACAGTACACTTCTGACAACTAGTCCTCCACTCAAGTAACACAGGCAGACTCTTTCTTTCTCTCTCTCTTTCTCTCTCTCTTTCCCTCTCTCTGAAAAGTACTGCAGGACAAATCACATTATTTATTATTCTCTGAAACAGTCTTATAATAAACATTAACAATCAGTAATTAGAACTGGTGGTTAGCTGCTCATGTTGTGCCTAAATAAACCAGATTGTAATTATATGCCATTTAGCAGACGCTTTTATCCAAAGCGACTTACAGTCATGTGTGCATACATTTTTACATATGGGTGGTCCCGGGGATCGAACCCACTACCCTGGCGTTACAAGCGCCGTGCTCTACCAATTGAGATTACAGAGGACCACAATTTTGCAGGATTATATGGCTAAATTCAATTCGTGTTCATTGAAAGTATAATTAGTACATTGTTTTGATCGTCGATGACTCATCTCCCATGCATCACAAAACCCCTGAGCTGACTCGAGCCTGCAAAACTTGATTGATATGTCATCGAGTGAAGCGCACAGGCGGGCGCCCACGCAAGAAACTAAATTAAATTATTTAACGTTCCTTTTCACGGTGCTTGCTCTTTCGTTGGCTCATATCCTTTTTTATTCCTTGACAAAAATACAGTTTATATAGATAGACGATTTTATTAGCCATACTCAGGGTAGAATATAGCCTTTGTTTTTAAAAGCTGATTGAACCTAGCGGACAGATCGACTGCGTCCTGGGGGTTGAATGGGCGACCTGCAGGCAAACCTTTACCGCCCGCGCCTGCTTCATTGAGGAGCCCCGGTAACTATGGCGATGAGAGAGCGAAAGAACGCACAGTCAGTTCAACGTCTAGTTTTGATTTAGGCCTACATTTGGTTGAGTTGTCAACTAACGTGAATTCAACGTGAAATCAACCAAACGTTTCACCCTGTAATTGGATAAAAAAATAAAAAAATACCTTATTTTTAAATTGATGACTTTTTGCAAATCCAATCAGTTTTCCACATTGATTCAACATAATCACATTGCATGTTTTGGTTTAAATGACATGGAAACAACGTTGATTCAAGAGGTTTTTGCCCAGTGGGACGCTATGATTCCTGCTCTTCAGTGTGTTTGTGTGTGCGACTTTTGAGGTAGGCGGAGACGGACGGGAGGGGGGGGAGAAAGGGAGTTTATGAGATGAGAGATAGCTGGGTAAGTGACGGAGAGAGAGAGAGAGATGATGTTGAAACGCTAACTTAATTTGTCCATTCAGAGACGGACCGACGGCTCTCGGGGGGGTTTCCAACTCGACAACCGACGGCACGGAGCGGTAGCCTATAGCCCGCAATCCGAATCCTCGACCTAGGCAACGGCGAGAGAGGCTAGAGGGGAGGAGAGATAGAAAGATGGGATCAGCTTCGTCCGCGTACCGAGTAATCTACCTGGACGTCGATGGCAGAATTCAGAAGGTAAACTGTCAACCGTTTATATCATGTCAGCCTGTTTCATCATCAACCTACACCCTTCCCTGTAACCTGCAACAGGTCCAATATTGCATGCGAGAAATTTGGAAGAAAGGTGCAATGATAGTTTTGCTTCCTATAGGATACCCGCAATAGCATCTATTTGTATGATACCATTAATATACAAATCGTGGTTTAAATGAATAGCCTATTGCAGTCAATTATCATAATATTAATAATAACAATGCAATGAAAGTCTTCTCACATTTTGATGCATTATATGCATATCGAAAAACAGAATTTTCAGAATCCTGTCCATTGGACACATTCACAGTCATCTCTATATTCTTAGGGCGTTTTCACATAGTTCTGAGCCATAGTTTGAATCAGAGTTTGACTGTGTTACGTTGTATTTTTGTAATTTGGTCTGGTTGGTTTCACATTGCCAAATGTCAAACGAACTAAAATTCCAAAACAAAACCAGGTGTCCATGCAAGTAATTTGTTTGTTGGACAAATAGGCCTATGCTCACGTATTTATTAGTTTTTTTTGTAAATGTTTAGTCATTTAGCAGACGCTCTTATCAAGAGCGACTTACAGTTAGTGAGTGCATACATTTTAAATACTGCCCCCCCGTGGGAATCGAACCCACAACCCTGGCGTTGCAAGCGCCATGCTCTACCAACTGAGCTACAGGAGGGCATCCTCCTTAAAGCCATTGAAATCCTCCTTAAATCTATTTATGATTATCATGAAGCATCACTGTGTGTCCCAGTCTTCATATTACTTTCGCTTTGGTCTTCCAACAACACACGGGAGGAAACGGCGCAATAGCCGCTCTAACTGCGACGTGAATAGCCTATATTCAGTAGCATAAATCCCCAGGATAGCCCTGGTCTCCCCTAATCTGCATCGGATGCGCTCATAAATGCACTGCTACTCACAGAATGTGTCAGAGATCTCAAATGATGATGCTGAGTGCATCATGTTGTTGGAAGATACTTGTAGATGTAGAGTAACATTTAGGTAAAAGCATGATAGCCTACAGAATCAATCATTTGAGTGGGCAAAATAAGTCTTAGAGCTAATAGTTTTTGCGGTTGTGTAGAGGAGGGGAGTACAGGTTGAAGAATAACTCATTTGAGGATTAACATGAGAGGACCAGGTATTTACTGTGTTTAGTTTGCTGGACCATTGTACAATTCTGGAACAGTTCTGGAACAATTCTGGAACAGTTCTGGAACAATTCTGGAACAGTTCTGGAACAATTCTGGAACAGTTCTGGAAATGTACTGGAACTGCCTATGTAGACTGCCACCGCCATAATTTAAGACCTTCTTCGGTAGTTTTAAAACACGCATGTAGTCTACATCTCTGCATTACAGTAGATATACCTGCCATGCTCGATTCTAGAGATCGATTGCTCAGGTTTCTTTCTAGATCAAAACATCAGCATGTAGGGGCCAAATCTTAACTTGAGATAGATCTCAAACCTTTGTGTAAATCACTGGAATGCTCGCTACATGACACCTCAAGGGACGTACATGCATCTAATATTAGGATTTGGCCCAAAGACAATTTTGATAATGTGTCACGAACTCCCTAATCTCGCCCAGACTACATCTGTTGTACTCCATGTGAATTAGCATCAACAAACACAGCTGGTATGGTGGGTCTAGATCCCATTGAGAGGTGTGTTAACACTTAGGCCTACACTCAGTGGACTGGAGGAGACTGAGGACCAGGACCATAAAGGAGCCATATAAAGACCTTTATGATGCTCTATGGCTCTTTGCATTTATTGCAGTTCGTGTCAATTCTTCTATAGTTCACCCTGTACATGTTTGGTGTTTCTCTGTGAGCTTGTTCGGTCAGTTGTTATAGGATATGCTGTAACCACAATGACGGATTTGACAAATATCCAGCACCCTTTTATCCCCCACGGTCTGCAATCCATTAACCTCTTTACCGGATCTATACCCATTACCTCCCCAATCTCTTTCCAGGAGTTCAAACTAATTTCTGTGTCTTTGAAATCCCTCACAAGGTATCATAAAGATGTATTTTATTTGTGAACTTGTTCTGATAGCCTTTCGTCAAAGTTCTCCATGTTTGTTGTCAAGGAAGTGAGTTTGTGTATATACAGGATGTACTGTCCCCACCTACCGTCAACCAATCATGTCAATGCAGAGCTATACGGAGCTATGCGGAGCCCTCTGTATTGTTACAACATCGCCATACGGAGCTCGATTTGTCCTCCGCAAGCCTCAGGAGGCTACGCAATTGCGTCACACCCTCCATACGGAGCCTCCGGACCACATTTCCGGATCAAGCATAAATCGTCTTTTATTTTCCTCCTCCCCCTTACGGCTCAGTCTCAGACAGGATCAACAGGGACTCCTCCCCCTTACGGCTCAGTCTCAATCAGGATCAACAGGGACTCCTCCCCCTCACAGCTCAGTCAGGAACAGGGACTCCTCCTAGCAGCTCTCATCATCATTACAGCACAGCTCTGTATGCAGGAGCCCATTACTGACTGGTTTTCTCACCGTCTGTGGCAGCCACCAGTGGTAATCAAGCCACCAGTGGTAATCAAGCCACCAGTGGTAATCAAGCCACCAGTGGTAATCAAGCCACCAGTGGTAATCAAGCCACCAGCGGTAATCAAGCCACCAGCGGTAATCAAGCCACCAGCGGTGATCAAGCCACCAGCGGGAATCAAGCCAACAGTGGTGATCAAGCCACCAGCGGAATCAAGCCACCAGCGGTGATCAAGCCACCAGCGGGAATCAAGCCAACAGTGTTAATCTCAAGCCACCAGTAGTAATCAAGCCAGTGGTAATCAAGCCAGTGGTAATCAAGCCACCAGTGGTAATCAAGCCAGTGGTAATCAAGCCACCAATGGTAATCAAGCCAGTGGTAATCAGCCTTACTAGTCCATCCACCAGCTACTTACTGTCTCACCTTTTCAATTCTCTTCCTCATTTTTACATTTTTACATTTACGTCATTTAGCAGACGCTCTTATCCAGAGCGACTTACAAATTGGTGCATTCACCCTATAGCCAGTGTGATAACCACTTGACAATAGTTTTTATTTTATTTATTTTTTTTTGGGGGGGGTGGGGGGTAGAAGGATTACTTTATCCTATCCCAGGTATTCCTTAAAGAGGTGGGGTTTCAAATGTCTCCGGAAGGTGGTGAGTGACTCCGCTGTCCTGGCGTCGTGAGGGAGCTTGTTCCACCATTGGGGTGCCAGAGCAGCGAACAGTTTTGACTGGGCTGAGCGGGAACTATGCTTCCGCAGAGGAAGGGGAGCCAGCAGGCCAGAGGTGGATGAACGCAATGCCCTCGTTTGGGTGTAGGGACTGATCAGAGCCTGAAGGTACGGAGGTGCCGTTCCCCTCACAGCTCCATAGGCAA